ATAAAATGGCTGTCACGAGTGATTCTAGTAGATTCTACCCGAACACCTCCAGCACTAATGTCTATCTGAGTCTGCCATTCTTCATCTGCAATGTAAACATCTGCAGCTCCAAACACACTGTGCCCTTGCTGAGACCTTCAGAGCCTGATTTTTGATATCTTTGGAATACCTAAAAACTAATTTCTCAAAAAAACTAGTATTAGTATGAAAAATGTCTTATTATGCCTGCATTATTAAATGTGGTTTATAAATTTATATATGATTTTATCAAAAGTTAAGGTCCAAATGCTGTGACCTAGTTATTTTCCACATTATGAATTTTTATAGGGAAGATAAACAACTGTATTTTATTTCTAGGCTACTTTCAAAGGATGGATGGATATTATGTATGCTGCTGTTGATTCACGAGATGTAAGTGTAAGACTTTCAAGATCATCTGCTGGTTATATTCTGATATACTTACAGAGTATAGAATTTAAACAGCCACACATACAATAACATTAAGACTTATAATAAGCACCAATACATATTTTTTCCAGATAAATTTAGTCTAGAAAGGAACTTCTATGTAACTTCACAAATCTCAGAATTTGTAGTGGGAAGAATTAATCCCACTTCCTTCTGTTTAGCCAAATAAGTTAAATTAACAGGACTTTTTTTTGGAAAAGCTAATGCTAATGAAAAAACAAGAGTTTTTTTAACCACTTTCTTTGGTAATCATGAGTATGAATTAATTTAAGATTATATAATGTAATTATTGTGTATTGAATATATTAATCTTGTTTTATAATTTGTAACTGTGCATTTCATTGTTTCTTTAGGCCGAACACTTCCGTTATCTAGCTATTTAAGTGCAATGAGATTTTAAGGTTGAACAGCATCTGTTAAGTTTTCTAGGGATTAGAATTTTATCTTGGCTACAAAACTAAAACTATGTTTACCTTGTACAAAGAAGTGCAACACAGATGCCTGAACTAGTTCTATACAACCTAGCTTATAGTCCCATTAGTGATATCCATCATCACACAGTGATACTTGTCTCCCAGAGTAATACATCCTGTTTCATTAACTTCAGCATTTCTACACTCTGGCACATTGTGCAGTAGAGGTGCAGGTATTGAGATGTGGAATCCGGAAAAATTGAGACAATAACAAAATCCTCCTTAGAAATTTGTCTCAATTTAATGGATTTCACAAAACATATACTCACTAGAAATTTATTGAAAGCATCTGTTCTTAGCTAGATGTAAGAACACTCATGCAAGACTGAAAGAGTTCCAAGGAGATTCAGGCGATAGTAAAATTGATTGATTCTGTTGCATAAAAATCTACTGAACACAATATAAAATATTTAGATTTGTATTGTTAAAATTTTAAGTACTAATGAATGATCTCAGTCTCACATTGCTTCTTCCTTCTATGTAAGGAACTTTGTATATATGTACATACATAAACATATCTGTGTGAATGTTTACTTTAAAATTCCATATGAGTAATCATTCTGTCAGCTTCCAGTTCTCCAAATATTGATTGGAATGGACATGTTGAGTCCTTTTAATAACTGAGTGCAGTTTATAGCTTTTCTAGCTGAGATAGCATATACCTATTCATAAATTATATACATTGTTTTTTACATCTAGTATTCTCATGGGTAATAACATTTATAATATTTTGTAGGTAGAAGATCAACCTAAGTATGAGGACAACTTGTATATGTATCTTTATTTTGTCATCTTTATCATATTTGGATCATTCTTTACCTTGAACCTTTTCATTGGTGTCATTATTGACAACTTCAACCAACAAAAGAAGAAGATAAGTATTTAAAATGTTTCCATAGTGACATAAATTATTAGCTATAATGAATTAATAACTTATTTGTGTAAAGCTAATACAAATCAAGTTATTTGAAGTCCTTGAATACAAATGTCTCTTTTTTTTTAAGATAATCTGTGCTAAATCTGTGGATGTGATTTTGACCTTTACATTTCAGCATTTTGACAAGCAAAGAAGGACAAATCATGAGTCAGTTCATAATATTTTGGAAACTGCGTACAGAAGAGCTGTATTTTTCTAACACTTTTGTGAGAAATTAGATGAACTTAGTCACAAATACAATCTCTAATTTATTAGCAATAATAAAGAAAAGGTATAAGAGGAAGGTTATTTTTTCTGTAGACATTTGACATACAAGTATGTTTAAAATAATTATATTGACAGTGACTTTGAGATTGTGTTTCCATCTGACTTAGTTCAGACTCATCAATAAGCACAATTTACTGAAATTCAGTCAGTCAGTCAGTTGAACATCTGACTGGCAACATGTAAGGCTAATTTGAGTTAGTCAAGGTTCCAGAGGTGGTTTAATTAATAACTTGCTATGGCATGATTTAGATTACTTTTCTTAAATTTATATCAAAGGTGATTTTTTTTGCTGTCATTAAAACCCTCAGATTAGACCCTAATACTCTCCCTTGACACAACTTGTGCCTCAAAGTTACCCCACTTTTAGACCTGGCTAGCTGTAATCCTAAAAGCCTATCCAGAATTTAGGATATGTAAGGCACCAGACAGGCTCCAATGCACTAAACATATCCTAATCAGCAAGTTATTTAACAGCATCAGTATAGTAAGAACCATTTTAGCCATATCAGCAAAAGTGAGCATGAAGACACCGGAAAAACTCAACCATCAGCCTGATAAGGTACGAGTAAGGGGTGTTTTTGTGTGTTAGGAATGCATATGGCATCCACACTATAAATACCTGAAAAAAATCACTTTTGTTATATAAATCAAATATAAATGTAATATTACAGAGAGATATACTATAGTTAAATGGTGTATGTGTGGACATGATAGTAATTAGTTTTTATATTATGTCTTTACTTTGGAGGTCAAGATATATTTATGACAGAAGAACAGAAGAAATATTACAATGCAATGAAAAAACTGGGATCCAAAAAGCCACAGAAACCTATACCAAGGCCAGTGGTAAGATTGATTTGATTTGAATACCCCTAATATTAAATGCTCATTTGGGAATATATTGTAGCTAACAAGAGAAGGTTATACGTCTGGAAGGAAATTATTTTTTCTATTTATTTTCTTGTAAAGGTAGAATTTGTCCACTTTTTTTTAATTCAGCAGACTAGATTGTTCGTGTTTCTTTTAAAAACATACACTCTGACATATGAACTGTAGGATTTAATAAAGTGAATGTGATAAATTTCATAATTCCCTGCATAAGTCCTGGAAAAGTACAGTTGATTGGATCATTTATTCATCCTTGTTACCCACAGAAAAACTTAATTTTCTGTTTTTTCTCCTCCCAGAGAATTTGTAGGAAATGGGGATGCATTGGCCCTCACTGCTGAAGACAGAAGGGGGCAGTGGTCACCTAAGGTGAACGAGAAACACAGATGCAGATAATCTTACACAATAAAAGAATGCTCTAGGGAGTAAAGCATAAACTAGGATAAATTTGTGTCTAAGATAAGAAACTACTCTGTTGTTTACTGAACTCTACAGTGTTTGGGAAAAATAAAATACTTGCTGCATCTTATGCACTGAGTAGTTAAAAAAGTCTTTCTAAGGAGAGACGTATGACAATAAACATTTACCTAAGCACTAAAGGAAAACTAGGATATTGCAGTCGTGGTGCGTTTGAGACACGCAACTTCAGCGGTACAACAGTCTCACCAAGCACCATTAGTTTAAGGAAGAGAGGGACATCTCTGGGGGTTAGTATACTAAAACCAGCTAAGAATAAAGATAAGAAAATGAGTTTCCATTTGGCTGGTACTCTTGCTGGGTATCAAGTTATACCACCTTTTTACACCAAAAATATTATCAATATTATTATTATTATTGCATTGTTTCTCTTCTCATCCCTTCAGCCAACAGGGGTACACTTCTTGATCTGCTTTAAGAGGATGAGACACAAACCAGCGGGGGTTTAGTCTATATTAACAGATGTATTGTGAATAGGTCTTGCTCTGCACTCCTAAATCTTGCAGGGACTTGGTTTCCCATTTGGCATTTGCAAAGAAATATTTTCAGAGTATAAACTATATTCTACCTTTGGTTTTGCAGAACAAATTCCAAGGCATGGTCTTTGATTTTGTAACCAAACAAGTATTTGACATCAGCATCATGATACTCATCTGCCTTAACATGGTCACAATGATGGTAGAAACAGACGACCAGAGTAAAGAAATGGAAACAATTTTATCCCGAATTAACCTTGTGTTCATTATCCTTTTCACTGGAGAATGTGTCCTGAAATTAATTTCACTTCGCCATTACTACTTCACTGTAGGCTGGAATATTTTTGATTTTGTGGTTGTGATTCTCTCCATAGTAGGTAAGAGCAATTCTCTTTCAGGAAAGAACTAGTGGAACGAAAAGGGAATGTTTGTTTCAAGAATGTTATGATATTGAATATGAAATTTTCTGTTTCCTATATGGCTTGCATGTTGATTCAGATCTTCATACTTTATAGCATACAATATATGAAATGTTACATAGAAGATTTTTCTCTCTCCCATTAGATTCGCTGTCATCTTCCACATCAAAAGACATAAATGAACTATTTGGCACATTAGATTAACATGTACAAATATAAAGAGGAATGTTTAGTGGTATATGTGAACTAACCACAAATTTGCTTTCAGTACTAAAACTGAAAAGAATGTGAAGGGGGTGAGATTTTTAATTGCTTTTGCTAACTAAGGTATTGGTGAACATTTAGATTTCTGTCAATTAAAAGCTAATGACTCTCCAAGGTGCAAATGAGTGCTGTGACAAAATTTAAGCCTTAAAGAGTGATACACCTGAGAGAGGCTATACTGATACAATATAGTCCTTCATAAAAGACAGTGGTAATAGGCTCAGTTTCAAGAATTAATTATATCTAAGACAGAGGCTTCTCTTTCCAGGCTGCTTTAGGAATAACTGAAACCTTAGACAGACACTAGCTACCTTGGCACAAGCAGTCATCTTTCTTTTACTTACTGCCCTTCTCCTAGATAGCATTCCAACATAAGGAAGGTTCTTCAACTTAGTAACAGCTTTCAATACTGACTGTTCTGGAGACAGCAATTAATAAATCTTTCTATAGGTAATGAATAAATAAAATTATATTCATTTTTTTTCTCTAGGTATGTTCTTAGCTGAGATGATTGAGAA